AGGGTACGATTAAATTAATTTACATTTAACCAGTTTAATATGGAGAGGCACTGAAATGTAGACCTTCGTTTATGTGTTTTTGACCTACACTGTACAAGACGCAAGAACTGTCCGCTATTTAGGTTTGTATGTTAGCATGGACTCACTAACTTCAACGTTAGCTAGTTTTAACCAGAGATACCTTGCTGAAATGCAAGGTGACATTAACGTTCTGCTTGAGCTGATAAAAAACTGTTATGAGAGTATGACAAACAGAAAATTGGGATTAGAGTTGAATGCTTACGGACATTTTGTTCTGTTTTGTTTGGGTTCAGGAAATGGAATAAAATAAATTCCATTGCCAATTATCTCAGGATACCTGGAATCAGTGTTACAAGTACCCCAGGCACATCGTTTTTCCATTTTTGTAGCATAAACACCATCAAACCGAGGAAAGCTTCGGATCTTCCAATTGTTCTCTATGGTGCAATAACCTAAAAATGTCCGAGTTCCATTCCCCGTGCAACTGATACTCGACTGCCATTGACTCCTCTGCGTTCGAGGGGAGGGTCTTACTGATAGGTCAGTTCTCACTATTAACAAGTTGCTTATTAGCATGCCTATTGTTAACATATTGGCTGTTTATTAGCACTTATAAAGCATATGCTGCATGGTCATATTCTACATCCCTAATCCTACCCAATACCTAAATTTAACAACTACCTTACTAACTATTAATAAGCAGCAACTTAGGAGTTTGAGGAAAAAGTTGTATTTAAAATAAGGTGTGACCGAGAAAGAAAAAAAAAAGTAACAAAAAAAACCTATCAGTGGCCACAGTTCATTCTTAGCAATTTCCCCCTCAATGTCCTGGGTTTGGTTCTTGGTTAATCCTTAAAATAAATGTAAAAAAAAAAAAGATTGGCATTGTTTGCAGTGGATGACTACACCATGTGGGAGGAAAAATGTGCTGCAATGACTGCACAACACGTTGGCATGCGGAGTTCTTGGGATCAAAGCGTTTGAAGCTTTATAGGACTGTGTTGGGCTCCAGATTTTCTCAATAGCCACTTCTGACTTCCCCACAGATTGCGAAACCGTCCGGCTGCTTGTTTCATCACAAAGTTTATGCAGAAAAACAAGAGTCTGAACTTTGCTCTTATCAGAGAGTGGAGTGTTGAGATAACTATGTGCACTTGCGGGCAGGTTTTCAGCGGCTCTGGCCCCCTGTTCTGTGGGCACTGATGCTGGACTAATCAACAGCTGCATCATGTGTAGACGTGAAGCACAGCACCGCTCCGTTCTGTCTGGAAACCGCTGCGATAACACACTGCTGCCGTCCGGTTCCTTTGGCCTGATGATTCATTTTGAGTTCAGAGTCACATTACACTCACGCTGTGTTTGAGTAGTGTGCACTTACAAAATTTGCATTGAAATTTTTTTGACTGGGTCATTGTGACTGGTAAATTTGTAAATGCTATGCTGCTAATGTCACAAAAAATGGAATTGTGAAAATAAAGACTGTCTGAAAATATTTTCCCAGACACTTCCCAGAGTAATGCCTTTGTTTGAGCCAGAATACACCGTCAAACAGTATATGCTCTTCATAATGGCTTACTTATCTTGACTCTGTTGACTTACAGTTGACTTACTTTTTCACACCATGTGTGGATTTTTGACACTCTACAAATCTCTTTAGAAACAGTGTGAAAATTAGTTTGTTGGTATACTAACAATCGTATATTACAACATATATTATCTCTGCCTTGGAAATTTGCCCCCTATTGGGTGGGCACTGACCCCCAGTTGAGAACTATGCTGTTCAGGCTTATATTACATTTGTTAATTTCTCCAATGAAGTAGGCTTTTCCCAACTTGTGTTTTTAATAGCCCTAGTTCTGTAACCAGTTTAATCTCATAGTCTAAAACCTGAAATGTTCTTGCATGCACACTATTACTTAAAATAAACAAAAAAAACAAAAAAAAGTTGTGCATTATGACAAAAAGATGGCTGGCCACCAGGTAACTTAAAAATAATGATTAAAAACAAGCAAATAAATAAATAAATAAATACATAGTGATTTTGCTGTACCAATACATAGAAGTAATTGCTAAAAACAAAAACATGAAAAAAGGAAAATTTTAAATGTTTAATCAACCAACCTTTAGCCATTTTTGTCTCTTTGACTTTGAGCCTTTCTATAAATGTATTTATTTATTTTTATATTTATTTGTTTTCTTTTTTTCTGTGCAGCAAACGTGAAAATATTAGCTTTATTATGAATAATATTTCAGTCATGGTCCATCTCATTATGTGTTGAGACATGTGTCTTCTACAGGCTCATCAGAGAGAACAGATAGTGTGTCCTGGAAAAATTCCCATTGCTTACAGATTATGGGTTATGATGAGAAAAGACAAACTCACTGGAAGAAAAAAAAAATGTTTATTTTTTATTTTTTTTAAAGAAACGGAAATGGCCTTGCTGCACACAATGCCTCAGTGGGCTGAGGTCTGATCTCTGTAAACACAACCAGTGTAGGGAAGAGACTGTATTTAAGTGGCACTCTTTGAAGTCATTCCACATTGTTTATGACAAATAAAAGGAGGTCAGAGGTGTATGGGAGGTGTTTAGGACTTACCAGAAGAGGAGGAGAGTAAGGTTGTGTTGTATTGTCTGATTTTTCAGATAGAAAACCCCAGATATCTGCGTGAGAACCCTATCCCACTGTCTCCGGTAAGTGCTGACAGCTCCTAGTGGCAGAAACATGATTGATCTCCACAACTGCATATACAGTTAAATGACAATTCCAGGTAACACTTTAGGGACCAGTTCTCACTATTAACTAGTTGCTTATTAGCATGCATATTTTTAGCATATTGGCTGTTTATTAGTAATTATAAAGCACATATATATTTTTATATATACACTGAACAAAATTATAAATGCAACACTTTTGTTTTTGCCCCCATTTTTCATGAGCGGAACTCAAAGATCTAATACTTTTTCTATGTACACAAAAGGCCTATTTCTCTCAAATATTGTTCACAAATCTGTCTAAATCTGTGTTAGTGAGCACTTCTCCTTTGCCGAGATAATCCATCCACCTCACAGGTGTGGCATATCAAGATGCTGATTAGACAGCATGATTATTGCACAGGTGTGCCTTAGGCTGGCCACAATAAAAGGCCACTCTAAAATGTGCAGTTTTACTGTATTGGGGGGTCCGGGGGGGTCCGAAAACCAGTTAGTATCTGGTGAGACCACCATTTGCCTCACGCAGTGCAACACATCTCCTTCGCATAGAGTTGATCAGGTTGTTGATTGTGGCCTGTGGAATGTTGGTCCACTCCTCTTCAATGGCTGTGCGAAGTTGCTGGATATTGGCAGGAACTGGAACACGCTGTTGTATACGCCGATCCAGAGCATCCCAAACATGCTCAATGGGTGACATGTCCGGTGAGTATGCTGGCCATGCAAGAACTGGGATGTTTTCAGCTTCCAGGAATTGTGTACAGATCCTTGCAACATGGGGCCGTGCATTATCATGCTGCAACATGAGGTGATGGTCGTGGATGAATGGCACAACAATGGGCCTCAGGATCTCGTCACGGTATCTCTGTGCATTCAAAATGCCATCAATAAAATGCACCTGTGTTCGTTGTCCATAACATACGCCTGCCCATACCATAACCCCACCGCCACCATGGGCCACTCGATCCACAACGTTGACATCAGCAAACCGCTCACCCACACGACGCCATACACGCTGTCTGCCATCTGCCCTGTACAGTGAAAACCGGGATTCATCCGTGAAGAGAACACCTCTCCAAAGTGCCAGACGCCATCGAATGTGAGCATTTGCCCACTCAAGTCGGTTACGACGATGAACTGCAGTCAGGTCGAGACCCCGATGAGGATGACGAGCATGCAGATGAGCTTCCCTGAGACGGTTTCTGACAGTTTGTGCAGAAATTCTTTGGTTATGCAAACCGATTGTTGCAGCAGCTGTCCGGGTGGCTGGTCTCAGACGATCTTGGAGGTGAAGATGCTGGATGTGGAGATCCTGGGCTGGTGTGGTTACACATGGTCTGCGGTTGTAAGGCCGGTTGGATGTACTGCCAAATTCTCTGAAACGCCTTTGGAGATGGCTTATGGTAGAGAAATGAACATTAAATTCACGGGCAACAGCTCTGGTGGACATTCCTGCAGTCAGCATGCCAATTGCACACTCCCTCAAAACTTGCGACATCTGTGGCATTGTGCTGTGTGATAAAACTGCACATTTTAGAGTGGCCTTTTATTGTGGCCAGCCTAAGGAACACCTGTGCAATAATCATGCTGTCTAATCAGCATCTTGATATGCCACACCTGTGAGGTGGATGGATTATCTCGGCAAAGGAGAAGTGCTCACTAACACCGATTTAGACAGATTTGTGAACAATATTTGAGAGAAATAGGCCTTTTGTGTACATAGAAAAAGTCTTAGATCTTTGAGTTCAGCTCATGACAAATGGGGGCAAAAACAAAAGTGTTGCGTTTATAATTTTGTTCAGTGTATATAATTATAAAGCACAGTATATTAAGTACATGTAGTTAATTAATATTACTCAGTACTTAAATGTATAATTACACTGTAATAAGAACACCTTAAAATAAAGTGTAACCAGTTATCTTTATTATCTTTATAGTTATCGTGTGAACGGGCCTTTATTCTGCATAACCAGAGTTGAGTATGAAGCGTTACACAGTAATTACTAATTACTTTTCCTGATAATGCAGTAATGTAATGCATTACACTTGAAATTTATGTAATTTGATTACAGTTCCTAATGTCAATACAATTATGTTACTTAAAGCTGCAGTCCGAAACTTTTTTGTGTTCAAAATTTATATAATAAGTGTGTACACCATGAATCCATTTTCCAAACCGTGTTTTTGGCTTGTCCTGAATCACTACGGTACACCTATAATGTTAGTGTTTATCTATAAGTTAGTGTTTATATTCGGACTATTTAGACTGGTTCGGGGTAGGTACCGCTGCGAAGTAGCCCAGTACCTGCATGATTCGCTATAGACATAAACAGAGAGAAGTAGCTCCGGCTACAATGTTCTTCCGCTAGATGCACGCAGTTCTGTTTATTAACCACTAGAGCGCCAAAAGTTACGGACTGCAGTTTTAAGTTACGAATGCAATGTTAAAAAAAAAAGAAGTAAAAATCATGTTTTGCTCGTCAGTATGCCGTTTAATAAATCACCGGAGAATGCGAGCTAAAATGCAGATGAGTCCTACAACATTTAGATGCAATGAAAGGTTATATCATATTTCAAAATGTTGCACTCGATTTCACATATTTTAGTCTGGCATTATAGTTTAGGAAAAGTTCAACTAGTAAATGTGTACAAGTTTATGTCACAATAACACTAATATAAGTAAAAATAAATGACTCATTAGAATGCAATCCTCCGCTGGATTAAGCCGCTCGCCACATCACATTCTTCTTCTGAGGTAAATACAAGGCTTATTCCTCACAGCGCATCTTGTTCCAAAAACGAAAAGTAGCCCAGATGAACTTGATGAATCTTAACGCTTAGTTTACGGAGGTGATGTGGGTGTCTCAAGCCTGGTTTCACATGGATGATTATCGTATAGCGCGATGCGCGTGGGTGAGACCACATTACAGATAATTAACTCATACGGGAAAGACTGTACCTCACGTTGGTTTCAAACGAATTACTTTATCAGAGAACACTTCTGAATGCTTCATTTAAAATCAGACACTTCAAGCTTTCTTTAGATATATTTCTCATGTCTGTGTGTCAAGTATTCTGAGTTTTCGTTCATTTTAGTGACGCATTTCAGGAAGGTATTCACGGAGACTGAGACTGCAGGAAGCGCACACTGTTTGTTTTCCTAATTTTACAAAAGCCCAATATTTTGTTGGTATTGCGAGTGTATACAAATAAAAGACCTTTCAAATTATGTATTACTCTTATCTGTACGATCAAAAATTACGAAATTACGTACTTTTCGCTGTCATCAGGAATAAATGCAAGTAATCGTACAAGTTGCCATTTTGATACTTAGGCTATGTAATTTTTCTGTCAATATTAAATTACTGAAAGAACTATGAGTTTCACTTTGTAGTGTATTTTTTAGGTTTGATAACTTGAAAAGTAAAGTACAATTGAAAGTAACTTGAAAGTAAAGTAATTAGTAATTTGATTACTTTTCAAATGCAGTAATCAGTAATGTAATCAAATTACAATTTCAAAGAAGTAATTAGTAATTTGTAGTCAGTTACTTTTTTGAGTAACTTACCCAACACTGTGCATGACCATATTTTAGATCCCTTAATCCTACCACATGCCTGAACTTAACAACTACCTTACTATGAATAAGCAGCAAATTAGCAGTTTATTGAGGCAAAAGTTGTATAGTTAAAAGTTAGTTAATAGTGACAATTGGTCTCCAAACTAAAGTGTGATAAAATTTCAGTGAAAACATAATGCAAAATAAAGAACAAAGAAACAAATTATGAGAAAAAAACTGCAAATACAACAGTCAACTTAAAGCATACAGCAAGACACTGTCATTTCTCTTTGACTGCATGTTGTTCAAACATTAATAGTAATTATTAGTATTATAGTATTATTTCTTGAATTCTGCATTCAGATATTTAGTGCAACCAGTACTGTAGAACTGTTATTGTAACATGCTTTTATTAGTGTAGTATCAACAGAATGCACATTTTATCTTTCTCTTTTGTATTAATAGATTTACAACAAATCAAGTCTTGGAAAAAACAGCACCCTTTATGATGAGGCCGCCCCAGTGAAAGCTGATAAGGAGGTAGGAACATTATGTTCTCCCAAAGTGCTTGAAATTTGCTGTAATTGCTTTCAAAATGGCCCAGTCCCTTTAAAGGAGTAGCTGACTCCAAAATGACAATTGAAATTTGCAGTGAATAATGACTTGGACACTTTGCAATGCAAAAGAACAGAACAAAGATTCTGCTAAACATCTTAATTTCTTCTCAAAGAAAGACGTCCCCTACGGGTTTGGAACGATACGATTAAATGATGACACGAGTTTCACTTTTGATTGAACTAACCGTTTAACCAGTGATGGTTTTCTTCAGCGCTGCTGTCTTGTTGAGATTTGTCATCCAGCATGCTTTTCCACTTCTTAAGTAAATGCTGTGTGATGGCTGGTTGCTTTTAATAAACTCAAGAAAGCAATGCTGGATGACAGCTTCACACACCTAACCAAAGCAAGGCTCTCTGAGTTTCGCTTGTTTAGGGATGCCGACTTCTCTTAAGAGCTTTACAAACCCTGTTTGTGATGACAGTTTCCCCCTGTATGTGGGTTTAAGCTGAAAATCCCATAGAACAAGCTTCTCTTTGATGTCGTTTGACTGGAATTGTTGAATATACTGTGTGACCTGCTGTAATCACATTTCCTCTGGGAAGAGCAGTGCTCAATTAGGTCAACTTCAGTCACACAGCATCATCAGCCCTCGTCTTCACTAGAATACAGCTATTTCGCAAACAGCTGAATAGTCTTTTGAAACAGTCCTTAAGTCTCCAGGGCTGCCATTTGAATGATGAAGCCACCACATTAACTCCACACACTGTTAAGCAAAGAGATTCTAAGATTAGCTGAAACATTGTTTTACTGTAAGCAGAGTAAATAGCATCTGCGTAGGGCTGTTGAGCATGGTAATTAATAACAGGTGGCAGAAATGGCAGGCCAAGAGGTCTGCTTGAGTTAACATCAAGGCTGAAGAAATGTTCCCAGGTAATGGGGTGAAGGGTGAGTCAAACGTTCCTCAGGAGCTGCTAGGCTTTGATGAAGGGAAATGGTGCATGCGTTGCCCTTCGTTGCCTCTGATTGAAATGACTGTGCAGCTGAGGACAGAGAAAAACAAAGCTCATACTAGTTCTAGTATTCATCACTGCTCTTGCTGTGTGTTCTTGGCGTTGTGCCTCACTATCATTGTTTACTCTTTCTTCGTACCCTGAAATCATGAGTTCTGTCTTTATTTCACATATGTCTCCTGAAAACTTTGTCAGTAGACTAGTTTTACTACGTTTTCTTGTTTTGCTAGGACACATAGCATCTAAACAGCATTAAAGTTAGCATTTTGATGAATCACTCTGTTCAGTTAGTTGATTCATACTCTGATTCAGTGATTCATTTGCAGCATCACACAAAAGTGTTCAAGTCTCTATGGCCTATTTATAAAAAATATACTGTATGTAGATGCATATTACTGTTTATTACAATGTAATGGTATATTAGTGCATATAAATTCAAGTTTAGAAATTCAAATATTTAAAAAAAATGATGGTTATTTAATCAGTTATGGCTCATTAGCTCTAGCATTCTGCCCACTTTAAAATCAGACACAGAGATGAAGTAGTGCAGTAAGATCACAACTAATTTGAATAAATGAATTGTAGCATTTATTTGTATTAATTATCAAGGTGAGGGGGGATGAAAGTTGTGTGTGAATCTGTGCATCTCTGTCTACAAACAATGAAGCTGTCAGTTTAGTTACTTCAAAAACAGTGATTTTACTGCCTCCTTGCTGAGAAATATAACTACCGATTCAGTATCAAGTTGCCAAAACAGCATCATCCCACTGAGGTATGGACTCTACAAGACCTCTGAAAGTGTCCTTTAAAAGCAGATCCTTGTGGGGTGAAGCTGCCGTGGATCGAACGTATTGGTCCAGCACATCCCACAGATGCTCAAATGGTTTGGGATTTGGTGAATTTGGAGGCCAGGGCAACACCTTGAACTCTTCATCATGTTCCTCAAACCATTCCTGAGCAATGTGTGCAGTGTGTCAGGGTGTGTGATTCTGCTGAAAGAGGCCACTTCCATCAGGTAAACACAAAAATGGGTGTACCTGCTCTGCAACAATGTTCATGTAGGTAGCACGTGAATAGCTGGCCCAGGCTTTCCCAGCAGAACATTTGCCAGAGCATCACACTTTCTCCACCGGCCAGCTTGTTGTCACCCCACACTGCATCCTGGAGCCATCACTTCCCCAGGTAAATGGCCGTCCATGTGATGTAAAAGAAAACGTGACTCATCGGACCAGATGACCTTCTTCCACTGGTCCAAGATCCGGTTCTGATGCTTGCGTGCCCTTTGTTGACGACTTTGATGGTGGACAGGGCTCATCATATGCACTCTGATCTGCGGCTATACGCAGCCTCATACACAGCAGAGTGCGATGCACAGTGTGTTGTGACACATTCCTCCCTTAACCATCATTCAAATTTTGTGTTAACAGAGTAGACTTTCTGTTAGCTCAGATAAGATGGGATAGCCTTCACCTAAACCTACCCAGACCTTAATTTGTGGCCTTGTTAGAAGATGATCAACGATATTCACTTCACCTGACCTGTGACTGGTCATAATGCTTTGGCTCATCAGTGTTTATATACATTTCTCTCATATATTTTAAAATTCGTATTACATGTAGTAGGTTCTGTTGGGTTTCTTTTGTTTATTATTAGCCCTTAGTCATTTTGCGACACCTACAAATATTTGCAAGATTCAGATTACCTCCATTGATACAGTTGACAGAAAGGCTTTATCCATCACAGGAAAGCAATCTAGTCAGACTGAATTCACTTACTATTTTACTGGTATTAAAATCTGCTGCACATATTCATATTTTCAGATGGGAAATGACTCGCTATAATGCTGATCTATGCATTATGCATTTAACACTAACCTGAGCCATGATTTGATAGCCTAACACAGAGTAAGTCACAGTATTTTTTTCCCAATAAATCACCCTTTGAGTGTTTTACTTTTGAGTTTTAATATTGAAAAAAGAAGACAGCAGCTTTAAGGTGGTGATAATATATTTCCTTATGAGGTAATGCGGTCTATTTTATTTATTTGACTATCCCAGTTTGTTTATTTGCGACATTTCAGTTGTGTTATTTTTCCTTCATAGAGAAAGGCAGTGATTTGATAGAGATGTCATCAGTGTGACTGGGGAAGCTTTCTGGTGTTTATCCAAACACTGAACAGTCACCCAGATTTTGACTCTCAAAATAGCTGGAATCACAGATTCAACCCGCAGTGTGGCGCTAAAACGTAGCAGACGTTTTGTGAAAATATTCCCTGAGGAAATGTGTGAAACCAACGCTGGGCAAAGAAAAGACAGAACAGCTGCTCTCATCTCCTTCACACGTCTTCATCTCTCCTCCTCCCACCCTTCCATCTCTCCTTCTGCTCTTCAAAAAGCTCCACGTCTCTGTGAGTTTAACGCGAGTAAAAGCACCAATGTCATTCGCTTCACTGATTCCAGGGAATCTGAAAACCCGGAGGTGTGCGCTCGCCCGCCGCACCTTTTCAGACAAGAGTTTCAGAACGCCACTGATGTAGTTTGACAAACTTTTCTAAAAGCACCAATTGAAACTTCAAAAAAAAAGACAAGAAAAGAAAAAAAAGTGCCGCCCACGTTTGCATCTGTGCTGCCGGGATCTGTTTGACTGCGTGGCTTCAATCAGTGCAATCTTCTCCTCTGACAGGTCTCCTGTGGTCTCTGAGATTGCACAAGAAGAATCGTACGCTAAGCGAGAGACTGGGGCTTGTTTCTCAGGGTTGAGTGGAAGTAGGGCAGGTGACGGTAGCAAACAGCGTGCTTTGCTCTTATGAGATCGTTACAGCCTCCAGATAATGCTGTCATGAGACAACCTTCTATGTTTGGTTTCTATAAAATGTGTCTGGACGTTGATTTTAGTGTTTATTCATAAAGCCTTTTTTGTCGGACTAAATTGTGGGATATGTACTCGTATGGAGCTTCTAAGGGGTGTACATCTCAAAACATGAAAATGTGAATGCAAACACTTCTGGCTATGCATTTCATGCGTTGTTGTGTTCAGAAATGTGTTATAAAGCAAGCAAACATTGCGTTCTCGGGATTGCTGCAAGCAGACATTCACTTAAACTGTCTTCTACATTATGTGCAGTTTTTTTTTTTCATGATATTTCAAGGGATAGTTCAATCAAAAATGAAAATTCTATCACCCTTTCCTTCAAATTGTTCCAAACTTGTACAAGCTTCTTTCTTCTGTCAAGCACAAAAGAAGATATTTGAAAGAATGTTGGTAACTAAACAGTTGACAGTACCCATTGACTATTGAAGATAGAATTTTCATTTTTGGGTGAACTATACCTTTAATGTCATGATGAAGAGAATCTTACAGTTATAGTAACACATGTGGCTCATTAATGGCAGATATTTTAAGGTAAAGTAACTCTATTGTCCTCTTGAGCATGTACAAGAAGACCATGCATTGGTTAAGCCAGGAGCTTCCCCCAATTTTCAATACCACACCAAACCTAGCCTAAAATAAGTAAAAACGTCTTAAGCAATTAAGTAAACAATAAACTATCAAGTGATAAAATAAGAAGAAGCAAATTACAACACAAATGACAGAAAAGAAATATGCGTGTGTTTTTTTTTTCCTTCTTCGGTTTGGTCTAGCCTAGTATTCAGTTAGGACATACTACAGAAATCGAATAAAGTCATGATCAAATATAAAATAAATATCAGTGCGCAAGTGCTTAATTCAGTTCTCCTGCACAGTTTATTGCACTTTTAATAACTTATCAAACAAAACGAATGTTTTCTCACGGTTTGGTCTAGCCTAGTATTCAGTTAGGACATACTACAGAAATCGAATAAAGTCATCATCAAATATAAAATAAATATCAGTGCGCAAGTGCTTAATTCAGTTCTCCTGCACAGTGTATTGCACTTTTAATAACTTATCAAACAAAACGAATGTTTTCTCATTCACCCATGTTTCCATCTCACTTTAGCGTGTCAATAATGTTAAGCAGTCCTGCACTACATGTTTACATTTACATACCGCAATAAAAATACAGCAAAATCGTTATCAACTGAAATCTGTTGCCATGATATAAGGCTGTCAGTTTAATGCGGTAACTTAATTAATTAGTTATGAAAAAATAACACAATTAAAATATTTTAATACATTTAATGCACACGCCCCACCCCCAGACCTGTACATCATCTTAAATTTCATACAGTTGACAAATATGATGCAGGGCAACAACTCCATAAACGCAGTTATGCCCTAAAATTCAAGATATTGGGGTAAAAAAATACCCCTGTATGAGTTTTTGTCTCATATTTATGTCATATGATAAGCGATGTCAAACGAGCAGTGAGAGCAATATCATATCAATATGTTGCTTTTGTCCTGAATAGCATGAGTGCAAATGTGATTTTAAACACCAGTTCAGTAAATAAGAAGCTAACACTGTTATATTTTAAACACAATATTGTCTGTTTTTGCTCAACTTTGCTAATGCAAATATTACCTAGAATTGATGCGTGTCTCTCCAGGACTCTACAGTGCGACCATTTCAGTCGCATTTGCTACTGCATGCGACTATGAAAAAATATTTAGGAGCACCAGTGCGACTGACCTGATCAGCATATTTGTGTTTGCGCTCGGGGAGCTTCAATGGTTTCTACTTACCATGTGTTTTTGCAGCGTTGATTAATGTATCACACACATATGTGTTAATTCCTTGAACAGAATGTTAATCAGAATTCACTCAAGCCGCCACCTACTGGCTGTTTTAGTTTCATTTCTAAAGTATCATTTCAGTTATTTAAATCATTTAATATTTTTTATATTCAAAATGTTTTATTTAAAACATTAATCTCAACATGAATTTATGAATTTAATTGCAGTCACGCCACATCTAAGCCTCATTAAATGTCTGTAAATATACCTACATTCCACTTGTGTTCTTCTGTGCCACCTCTGTAGTGCAAATTAATTTTGTTAATACTGATTGTATTTGATCAGTAGCCTAACTTATTCTTATTCTATTGTTTTAATCAGAAATTTTGAGAAAAGCTTATAAATATACACTTTTGAATTTGACATAAGATGACATACTTTCCATAAAGTAAAAAAAAAAAAATGGCATTAAAAATGCCCCTGTAAATCACTTTAAGGAGTCAAATATTACCTCGTAATGGGAAGGCTCATTTTTGTTATTGATCAGAAGGTGCTCCTGAATTTTCTGACTGCGCTCCTAAATTTTTTAAATTAAGAGCGCAAATGCTCCTAAAAATAAAAGTAAGCATAGAGCCCTGGTCTCTGAGCAACAGCGGTGTTTAGTTTCTCAATGAATCCGCGTTTTGAACAAATCAAATTAATTAATTTTAATGAGTTAGTGAGTTTTAGTTTCTTATTTAGAGTATAATTTCGGTAAAGAATAAAAAATAAAAAAATAGCAAGGGATAGTTCACCCCAAAGTTAAATTCTGTCATCATTTACTCACCCTCATGTAGTTTCAAACCTGTATAACTTACTTTCTTTTGTGGAACATAGAAGCTATTTTGAAGACGGTTGGTAACAAAGCTGATTTGGTTAGGCTACCATGACTTTCATTGCGTGAACAAAAAAATACTGAGATTTTTCTTAAATCACCTTCTATTATGTTCCATAGTTTATGTTAGGCTGTTGTAGCCTACATGTTTATGTGTAATAAATTTTATGTTGAATCAAATCAAATATTTATTTCTAAAGCTACTATTTAATGTTTACTTGATACTTTTCTCATTTAACACAATAATAGCTTAAAATGATCTTTTGTGGGTATTTTCAAAGCCAAATTTAGTTTGCGATTAATTAAATTAATCGCCACATCATGTAATTAATTAGATTGCTCGTCCCACATTTTGAAAACCTCTAGATTAAGCATTTATATCTGCATTTGTGTACTTGTGACCAGTATGTTTCTGGTATAAGATACTATATATACATTTACATTTATCTGATGCTATTCAGAGTAGCTTACAAAGCAGTGTAAGATTAAGCACAATGTGGTGCTTAAGGGATCTGCTGGAGAGCCAGGTGAAGCGGGGATTTGGAGGGGCATGAGGTTGCTACTATAGGGAAACTGGACAAAGCTTTAGACCATTTGTGAAGATTTATTATCACAATTTCATCAAATTTGGTGCTACAGGATATTGTGATTATGTAAATGTTCTTGTCAGCCACCGGCAGCTGATGTGCTGTATATTACATACCATTAGCTTTTGAGAATCACAGAAGTGAAAGAAAACAAGGATTTCTCTCTCCCTGGAGATGATGAAGGCCTCCTAGGCTGTATTCATGTTTTTGATATGTAAATAAATACATTGTTTATGTAGAGCACATGAGATGTCTTCATTAATTGGGTTTGAATATAAAATGACACTGAGATATATACTAGGGCTGGGTGATATGTTATAAATAGTTTCACAATTCAATTAATACTTTATCCAATTACATTATGTAAAACCATTGTCTCTGCTTTCAACCCAACTACAGTAAAGCAACAATTCTGTCTGTGTAATTTTGATGCATTAAAACATCTGGCTTTTCATTTAATGCATTCATTTTAGTTTGTTCATCATGGGTCACAGTCTGTTCCATTGTATCAAATATAACAAGTATCACTGTGTACCGTGGCCAGCCTACTGATGAATACAGGTTGATGTCATAAAGCCATGTGTTTTAAATCAGCAGCTTTTAATAATGACATATGTATGCTCACTTATTACTTTAGCATTTCACAATAATGTATTTTCCCAACAGGCTGTATTTTCTTATTTATGATTATATATGTATATATATATATATATATATGAAGTTTTTGTGCCCCCAATCCCATCCATGTCATTTTAAATTAAGTATCTGCCAATACTGTGTGCTGATCAGATTTCTGTATTTTCCTAGTGTTTTAAGTTATCAAGTTCAATCCAGTGTATATGCTTGACAAAAAGCTCTGCAATGCATTGGGAAATAAAATACCGTAAAAATGTTGTTCCTTATCAGTTTTGTTTGTTTATTTATTTATTTTAAAAAAGTGCTAGGCCGAGGGACTGAGAGTGTGCAGGTTTGCAGATGCTACTGACATTGCATCAAGTATAATTTGATTTGTATCCACATCTTTATTTGTTTGATTCATTTTTACATTCATTTGCAGTATTTTTGTCCTCTCCATCTCTGTTGAGCGAGTTGGAAGACTTACCATAATGATTCTTGAAAATGTGCACCTTAAAATCCATATGCTTTTAATACTTATATTTTTCAGACAAACTGGCTTATTCGTCTAAATTAGAGTAACACATGAATTTGTGAAGTTGCAAATGCTCACAACTGCCAATAATTCTCACTTTAGTGAACATGATATCAGGCTTTGAAGGCTGAGCAAGTGCTTGTTCTTTCATTAGAGCAGTGCGGTGTCACGATTCGTTGTGGCAAGGGGAGAACAAGTCTCAAACTTCACTTGAATAGAGTTTAATACTGAAAACAAAGGGTACATACAACTCAGGAGCAAAATCAAACAACTAGTAACAAAGTTGACCGGACAAGGAATGAAGGAACTAATATACATAGGATAATTGACAAAACAGGTGCCAATTATCCTATGGCTAATTATCCTATGGCTAATCCCCGCCTCCAGGGCGGATCAGGCAGTTCAGGAGGCCATGGCGGAGAGAGACCCCCAAAAAAAATACTTGGAGAGGATAACAGGCTCTAAGGCCCTCTTCGAGGCCAAAACCGGGGACTGGAGCCCTCCCTGGGCTTAACGGGGGATCAGGAGCCCTCCCTGGGCTAAACTTGGGAACAGGAGCCGACACTGGAGCGAGCTCTGGGGTTGGAGCCGACACTGGAGCAAGCTCTGGGGCTGGAGCCGACACTGGAGCGAAAGCCCACAATCTCTTCCTCCGCAATCTCCTCTTTTGGGCCGAGGAGAGGGAGATGATCGTCGGGCTTGACAGTGGAAAGGCCGGCGAACTTGAGTGCTGAACGGCCGGCGGCTTGTGTGAGCTGCAGCCGGCGGGCTTGACTTCGGAACGGCCGGCGAACTTGAGTGAGCAGCGGCCAGCGGGCTTGAGTGAGCCACGGCCGGCGGGCTTGACAACGGCACGGCGAAGCGTGCGGCAGTTTCCATGCCGCGGGGGAAAAACAGGACAACAAAAGAAAACATTTTCAAAAAAACGGAAAACGGGGAGAAGGAGCGCCGCTTACTACTGTACTGGGTCCGGTATTCTGTCACGGTTGCCTTCTGGGACAAGACGAAGAACGAGGAAACGAGGATAAACTCAAAACTACAGTCTTTAATAAACAATCTAAAAGGGAAACACAAGGCAGGGCGAGACTCGCATGAAGCACAACTTCGACGTATAATACCTGACCAACTCAGATAACACCGACAGGAACATAAGTACATGGGGTAATTGACAAGACACACCTGGGAGCAATCAACAATCAAACACACGGGAAAACCAAATGAACAAACTATAATGAGGACAGGAACATAACCAAATAAGGGCATACAGAAACAGGAGGCAGGAACAGAGGGAAAACAAAACAAAAACAGACCATAAACGTGACAGATACTAAAATAACCAGGGTTATTACAGTTAAAACAAAAACAATAAAAAAGCCTTTTATTACTTGAAATATAATAAATAAAAATAAATAAATAACCGAGAAAAAAAATCAGCTAGTTGCAAAGGCGGATTTCTCATTTTCAACTAGTTTATATACTAAAATATCTATAGCTAAAACTGAATTAAAATTACACATATTATATGTATTATATAATGTAATTATATATATACATATACATATATATGTATATACAGTATATAAAAAATCACATCAAAATTACTAAAAATGTAAAATTCAAATGAAAATGGAAAATATAAAAATAAAAAAAATTATAATAGTATATGAACGGTACTAAAATAGCACGGATTCAAGCAGATTGAGAATGAAGGGCAGTAATGTGAGCTGATGGTGATGTGAAGCAGCTGTTCTCATAGTCGACACTGATACTGTCACATCTGCTCCAAACACAGCTCGAATAAACACACAGACGACAACAGCTTTACGTGTGTGTGTGTGAGTGTGTGTGTGTGTGTGTGTGTGTGAGTGTGTGAGTGAGTGAGTGAGTGAGTGAGTGTGTGGCACAGAATTAGGTCACTGTGTGTGTGTGTAACATATGCAAATGCTCACTCAATCACACACACTTAAGCACTGAAGCAGCAGAGCTGGGGTCTGCGAGTTTCTCACCTTGACGCTGTATTTGACTTTGCCGGCGTAGTGTCGGATGATGAACGCCGGCTCCATGACGGCAGGAAACTCGATGTAGCCGTTTCCCTCGTGCTGCCGCTTAAACTTATCCAGCAGAGTCTGATTAGACGCCTGCGGAAAACTGCAAGCCAACCACAACAACATTCACATTCACACCTAATCAAACACTCCAGTCTGCAATAATTCATCACTGTTTTATGACAGAAATGCTACTAAACAGAAACGGAGTTCAAACAATAATGATGTATCTATTAACACTATTGCTCATTATGAAAACAATGTTAAAATTTTCTTGTATAAATGTAACTTCTTTACTAAAATCAAAAAACTAATTTTGAAAATAAATATTTGATATTTATTTATAATAATATTTTCAGGCTTTTATCCTTTCAATCAGGTATAGTTAACTGAAACTTAAACTAAAAACATAAAAAAAAACATTTTTGTTACTTGAAATAAAATAAACTAACTGAAATAAAATATATAATAAATTGAAACTTTATTTCAGCTAGTTGCCAATGCAATTTTTTACTTTATTTAAACCTGAAGTACTAAAATAACTAAAACTGAAATAAAAATGTATGTATATATTACAAATAAATATCATATATTCATTTTCAAATTTTGATTAGTAAATATACTAATTGCAAATGTGCAAATATACAAATGATTGCAATATTTCATTTTCATACAAGAAAAGTCAAGGTTATATTTTCATAATATGAGCATAAAGTAAAAACTAATAAATTAAATAAAAAAATTAAATTTTTACATAATAAATATCTAAATTTTTTTAAGAAATAATAAAACTATAAAATGATTAAAAAAATAAATACACAAGAAAATTACTAAAATGTCAATTAAATTGAAAATATATAAAAATATAAAAATAAAATTGAATTTAAAATAAAATAAAAAACTAAAAAAATAATGTGTGTGTGTATATGTATGTATGTGTGTATATATATATATATATAGCAAAAACAGCAACATTACTACAACTTGGACTAAAATGGAAATGGAAAATATGTATAAAAAAACCTAATTCAAAATATTAATAAAAACTATACCATCATCTTAATTACACAAAAATAAATTTAGATTTTTATATTTGTGGTGACTTATCCAGTTTTCTGATGTTAGAACAATATAACAAAAAACAAAGATAATGATATTAAAGAATTAAATAAACATTAGTGTGAATAAATCCAATGGAACCGGCTTCTAGCTTAATATTTACTAAACATTTCTGTGAAATCCAAAGCAAGAACACTTTAATAATGGAAGACACAATATCTGAAAGCTGCATGATAACTGTGACTGGCAGCACTCTGTCAGATGCGGTTGAGCTGAGACGAGACTCACTTGCACTCCTCGTCCAGCAGGTGGAGCAGCGCGGTGGGTTTCTTGCTGATGAGGTTGATGCAGGCCGTGTTGTCGATGTAGTCGATCATGTGCCAGCTGATGCCCTCCGAGCGATACTCCTCCTGACAGACCAAACACACACCGCAAACCTTCTGTGTTACTGCAAACATACACTGCAGCTCGAAGGCTTTCAAAGGTCTGAATATGAAAACAATATTAAATATAATAATGCTTTTATTTAATCCTGTATCATATACACTAACAACATTACTAACCTCCAAGTTTAGGTCTTTTAATATTTTTTTTATTATTTCTGCAGCAGTTAGAATAGTTTCATACTAACAACAACAACAATAGTTATTATTATTATTATTATTATTTTAATAGTGCCTTCCAAACATAAATTGTAACTCGAAGTGTTTCAGAAAATAAATACAATAAAAACAACAACAATCATAATCATCATAATAATAATGTATATAATAACAAGTTTATAATGTATAAAATGAACAACTTTACTAAAATTCATAAAACTGATGCCTGATATTTATTAATAATATTATATATATAATTTATATAATTTTAATAATATAGTATTTCTTTTTAAATGTGTCTATATAGTTTTTTATGATCATATTATGAAAATGTCAACAAACAAAAAAAATAAATAAATACATTTTCTTGTATAAAATGAACTAAAATCAAAAACAATTTTTGAAAACGAATATTTGATATGTATTTATAATACCTTTTCAGGCTTTAATCCTTTCAATCAGGGTTATTATAGTTAACGGAAACTAAAACCAAAACCATAAAAAATGTTACTTGAAATAAAATAAAAAATTAAAATTAACTGAAATAAAGTACATAATAAATGTAAACTATTTCAGCTAGTTGCCAACGCAACGTTTCCGTTAATGTTAAGCTTTAAATGTCTATATAGTTTTTTATGCTTATATTTTGAAAGTGTAAAAGATCTTTCAATTTTCTTGTATAAAATGAACTTATTTACTAAAATAAAAAATTAAATAAAATTAATATTTCATATTTATTTTATTATTTATTTAACAATGAAAATAAGAAGTGTTGCCTTGGCAACTAGCTGAAATAAAATTTGTTTACTTTAATATTTTATATCGTTTCAGTTATCATTTATTTTATTTAAATTAACAAAATGTTTTTAATGGTTTTAGTTTTAATCGGTTTTAATGAATTATAATAACCCTGGAGTTGTTCACAGAAAAACATCAAATTTTTTCCTTGAATTATCCCTTTAAATAAGCACAGTATTCATATTAAACACATAAAAGATCAAGATTTAAACACACTTCAGGTTAGTCTATATTCTAAGACTCCAGTGTCGAATCAGTAATGAAATGTGATCATGTGAGCGCAGAACAGGACGAGTAAACGACGGCGCTCGTGTGATCAGATCCAGAGATCTGTTACCTGCTCCAGCTTGAAGACGTGCTGGTTGAAGTAATGCTGCAGCGTCTCGTTGGCGAAGTTGATGCAGAACTGCTCGAAGCTGTTGTTCTCGTAGTCCTCAAAGCCGAAGATGTCCAGCACACCGATGGACAGGATCTGAAACACACACACATCTCACATCAGGTCAATGTGAAACTGAGTGCCGATGCATGATTTCACCACATCATCATGACTGTCGGAGCTGATCGCTTTATTGATGAGGGAGCTCAGAGACATTGATGAACAATCAGTCACTGAAGTCAACTAGATAGAACCTGCCAATAATGGGAGGAAATGTGTGTACTAGGATTATTACTAGCTATTGTGCAAATGTGTGAACAAATATAATACACACACCTTTCACACAGCATAATCGTAAAATGTGTGTGTGTTTGTGAGATTTTATGTGAGTGTTTGTGAGTTTGTGTGTTTTTGTGAGTTTGTGTGAGT